ACTAGGAGCAAGGAGGCTACTAGTAGCTCCTGGCCTTACTACTAGGAGCAATGTTCGCTACTATGGGCCACCTAGTACTAGGGGCCATTTACAGTTCGTGGAGTCCTGCTGAGATCTGTGAGATCCTATGAGCCTCCATTAGGACCAGCATCCGTTGGGTTCTGCCTAGATTCCTTTAGTCAAAAACAAAGCCAGTCGTGATGAGAAACTGTCGGCATAGTTCAGTCAAACTGCACTTCTCAGACTTGATGAAATCACCCGCTGATTGAATCACCCGCTGATTGCTTTTTGTCGTGAGTGACATAGCCACTGGACTTTGAAGCACGGCAAAGTACAGTATCTCTTACAGCCCATACTAAGTAAACACCACAAAGGAGAATTGCGAACAACAGGCACGCAAGAAAAAAGAAAAGGCCTCCGCACCCATCTCCAAGCATCGCCTCAAAACCGGTCCAATTGGTCGGACTTTCAGAGTCATTTTCCCGTCAAAGGGTCGCACGAAACCCGTCAGTTTGACCACAGAAATGCAAGTTCCTAGAAGAAGGCAGGCTACCGGCTAGGCAACAAAGCACAGCAAATTTGCAGCGGATCCAATTGTCCATTGAAACTTTATGTCCGTGGGAAGGCAGAACAAGAAACAGTCCTGGACTCAGCACGAGTCCATGCTGCTTCTTTGGCATGGGATTCAAGCTGCCAGTCATTTCAGGCAGGCCTTTGTACACTGCTAATGACTTAATGGGCACAAAGTGCATGCCCAACCATTTGACCCGTATGCGGCCTTTGCATCATAGCCATGTTTATCCAAAAGCTGCTTGACCGCTTGTTCAACCCTAGGAGCAAGAGCGACCCTGAGTCTTAGAAAAGAATCCGAATTGGAAGAGCCAGTCTCATTCTTCAGCTTGTGAGAGTCCTGTGCCATCAGTGAACATTCAGAAAAGAAAAGGCAAACACTTGAAGCAAACTCAAACCACCCCAACTCCCTACCGTCCTTTCCCAAAAGAAAGCAGCCATGTTGTGGTTGGTCTTCAGGGCCTTTCAGGCTCCTTTGCGCAAGCCTTTCCACGATCCAAGCAGCAATGATCTGTGCATCGGCATCAAGGATTTTTGTCTCTGCGTCCACGATGTCTTTTTTTGCTATCCTTGTCATTTCTGCACATTGTTCCTGGATGTTTTTTCCGCAAGTCGGCAATCATCCTCACACCTTGGGCAAGTGTAGCAGATTCATGCTTAATCTGGACATCCTCCGGCAGCTGGAAAAAGGCGCAGTCCCGCTTCATCTCTGCCAGGCCAATGCTCCGAGGTAGCAAAATCGAACCATAGCGGTACCAGTCCAGGATGTACCGAAATCGCTCCTTGTTGCCCTCCACGCCTTGGCTACGCGGCTACACACGTGGATTTACACTGAATCTCGCGACGTCCCTCGTGAAAGGAAATGGACCGCAAATACGCTTCAACACCATCACGGGGCTCTTGGGCTGAGAAGGGCGTCACTACAATACCTCTCTCTCCAGAAATGTGTATATGTGTATATTATATTATAATACGTTATATTGTATTATATTATATTATATACAAAGCTAGAAATTTAGCAGCTGGCCTCTGCCAATTGATACAATATTACAATATGTATATGTATACTTTAATATATATATATGTGTACAGTATATATACAGTTTATGGAAATGCGAGTTGTCCCTCAAGGTTCAAAGATGCAAAATCGCCAAAATTAATGCGGATAACATCCTACCTCAAGGCCGAGAAGTGTGCAAAGAAAGAACTTTCTGCCACTGGTACCCAAGTCGCAAATCTCTTTCGCATCGTCCCTCCAAGGGTCATCCAACACGGTCACTAGGAAGGTGTCCCCCTTGGCTCGTAGCGTCTGCTCCAGGATCTCAAACCTTTCACCATCCACACGGAATCGCACCAAACCATTCGGCAGCGGGTCGTTGATCCTTGGAAAAGAGATGAAGCTGGAATAGCTTGAAAGGGAGCACCCGGACAGTCAGTCGTTTTCGTTGGATTTTTGGATCCAAGTGGTTACAAGTATTTGACAAGAAGGAGCCCAACCCCCGAGGAATCGCGGCTTCACAAGTTCAGTCCAAAATTCGGTGAAGCCTGTCTTGCTCTTTTCGGACTCCTCTGGCTCATGGCTTCAGTGATCAAACCAGCTGGAGTCACACGGCATCCATACCACTTCTGACGACTGCACTTTTTGTGGCGCTGGGTCCCTTAGTGACACGTTCAATGTCTATCCCATCATTGGGATCACGATGGATCCAGACATCTTTTTCTGTCTTTGACAATGATGGAATGTGAGCTGAAAACAGCTGCTGCTGGGTCTGACAACTATATGGATCGACCACGAATTAAGACGACTTGGAGCAATCAAATTCTCCGGTGCATGTCAATGTCGGGACCCAAAAGGGAACCTGCCTGGCGGCAACCGTCGCCACCTGAGCTCAGATCCGCTTCGCCACAGCAACTAGATGGGTGGTCGTCTCTTCTTACTCTTCCAGCAGGATTTATGTAAAGAATTGAGGCCTTGGTTGGTCTTCTCCAGAACAAGTTGGGCCCTAATATGCCTTGATTAAGTATCACTTCCTGAGCAGCCCAACGTCTTTGGGCGTCTTGCCGCAGCTGGTGAGGGCATTCGCATCGGCTTTGCATCGCAGCAGCTCACGAACCACGTCCTCTTCGCCTGCTGACTGTTTTAAGGGCTGGGTGTATAATTGAAAATGCGAACCATAGGGCGACCCATAGTCCACAGACATGTTTCTGAAGTGTATCAAACACAGGTTGAACATTATATAACTGGGTGGGTCAAAGGCTTTACATCACATGGCAAAGGTGCGTTGCCATGAAGATGTTGAACTATGTGCCATTGTTTAGGGTAAACCCACAACCATGAGTCAAGCTTCTTCGCATTGAGACACTCTTCTTTGTGGGGCAAATGAAGGTTTCAACCTCGAATCCCTGAAGAAATGAGACGAAAGCTGGCCCGTGTAATATCGACGATATCATCTTGAAATCCCACAGCCGCATGAGGCCCAAAGACCCGATGCATCCAAATCTTTGGCAACGGAAAGAATCAAAGTAACCCTAAACCCTAATAGGAATGGCCTCCAACCTAATAGCAATGGCCTCTAACCTAATAACGATGGCCTCCAACCAGATAGGAATGGCCTCCAACCTAATAGCGATGGCCTGTCAAATATCATCCATCCAACCTGCCTTACCCTGATTCCCTGCACCTGCAGAGGCTGCTTGATGCAGGGCACTCCAGCGATTCCCGGGTTGAACACCTTAGGGAGCGGAGTGAGGCTGGTTGGAGCCTTAGGTGAGGTTTCTGGTTGGAGTTCTCAGCTTCTTCAGCCGGGGGGGGGGTGGCAGGGATGGCACAAGTGGCATGCTACCGTCGAAATGACATCAGGTGCGCCCACTAGCCAGGTTGGGCGTCTTCGCCAGCAACTCCCGGAAGTCCTCCAAACTTGCGAGCGTAGGTTTGTCGAGACCAAAGGAAATGGAGAACTAAGGGAGATGTGGAGATCTGACAGCTTTCTGTGATCTTCGTGGGTTAAATTCTTATTGTTACTAGTAGTAAGGCACTTGTTCCTAGTAGCTTCTTGTTACTACTAGTAAGGCACCTGTTATTACTAGCGTGGCACTTGTTACTAGTTTGTTTCCAAGATCGGATGCCAGGACTCTGAGACCGACCTATCAAAATCCGTATCCGCTGGAAACTCATGTTCTGGTATGCTGGGAGCTCAAAAGCTGGTACACGGGCCTGTTGGCATAGTTCCCAGTCCGGAGTATTGGTCTGTTTTGTTGGCTGGGATCCCTTTCTTGGCTATCAAAGCTCAGTAGCACTACTCGACTGTCCAACAACAAGAGCTCCCATGCCCTTGCAAGCTCTCTATATAGAGAAAAGAAAAAAGGGGAGCGCAGGAAGTGAAAAGGCGTGGCAAGCCAACGAGATCTCGCCTTCCATCTCCGGTTCTTTGCCAGATCCAGGAAGTGATGTTCCAGCGAGTTCCTGTTCCAAAAAGCACTCCAGTTCCCCACCGACAGCTGACATATATACTTCAGCTGTGAGCAGGAAGGTCCATGATTGCTCTATATACAAAAAATATCTATCTGCAGAGATGACAAGAATTACACTGAGCTACTGCGCTCATCATGGCATGTTCCAATAGCTTTTGACGCGTCTGTTGTCGCCTACATTCCTCTTCCACAATTCCCCCATGTTATCCACAGGGTGGGGCAGAAGCGTCCCACTGGCTTAGCAGTGAGAAATAACAACCCAAGCTTGGGCGCCTGAAGAGCGTTTGGGCTTAAAATTGGCGAAAGCAAAATCAAGCAGTGATGCTTGAAATATCTGCTTGGGCCTCGAAAATCCGCTCAAAAATGGATTGTGAAAAACTCGTGCAAAGCTACCACAGTCCTTGCACCTCATGTCAAGCACCATGGTATGCCTTTTATACTGAACACAAACAGCCGCAGCAATGTTTCTGGCTGCTGAACGATGTTGTATCAGAACAGCGGCCAATACAACTTGTTCTTGGCCGCAACCGTTTCTCTCTGCTAGTTTCATTTCTTAGATCCAAAGGCATTCAGCCATCTTCCAGCATTCCGCAGTCAGCTGGGAGATCGTCCCGTCTCTTTGGCCCACTTGCGGAATTTTTGAGTCGCCTCAGATGTTCAGCAGATCTGTGTCGAACCCAAAGTCACACATTCATGATCAATGAGCGCATATGTAAGACATTGTAAAAAAAACAAGTAATTTGTATTTTATATACATGCCCTTTGTTCCTTTTCATATTGGGTCAATGAGTTCTATATCTATAATCTATAGTTCCAGTAAATCATCCAGAACCACAGAATCCCTTGTTCGCCCCAGCGGCGAACGGCATGAAACGCCAGAGCTCTGGTCCGCCCCGGGAGGCTTTGAGGTCCGCAGCACCCGCCAGCACGAAGCCCTGGGTAAAGCCCAGGTTGCAAAAGCCTCCGGTTGGAGCTGGTCAAACCAGTTTGGAAACAAAACACAACCAATGGTTTGCGAAACAAAGACAGACTGTTCAAATTGTCCCATACTCAAGGTATATCCTTCCAAAAGGTGTAGAAAGAGGGGAAAAGGTGGGGCGCTTGCTTCTCTCTCCATTTGGGGGTCACTGAAAGAAGAAGATATATGCAGTATATATATATAACATCCTAGAGCAATGATTCGTAAACTAAAGTACATGTCATGTGGAGTAATTTGTCTTCTGCCCCCACATCAAGGTTGCACAGGAAGGAAGAACGTAAATCCCTCCAATAAATCTCAAAATCTCACTTGACTTCGGTGTTTATCGCCCAAGGGAAAGGGAAAACGATCAACTTTATCACCACCCAGTGAGATACAATCATATACGATAAATAATGTGCTGATATGAACTCCTCTGCAACAATTAGTAATAGAAACAAACGATTTCATCTTCTCCTTACACCAAGAGATCCACGATTAGTCTATCACCATGTCTGACAAAGGCCTCACCGACCTCACCCTTTCCTTCCCCGCCTGGCGCCCACCAGCGGCCACTGGGCAGTGGCCAAACGTCCACGACCCGCGCGGTGCGCTGGTCCACGAGGCGCAGGTCCCCCCCGCCGTCACTGGTTTGCGAGAAGATCCACAAGATCTGCGGAGACTCTGATGGAGGATGAACAAAAGAACTGTTGCGGCGAGGAAAAAAAATGGCACGCACACATTGGGGTGTTTGATTGGCGTGTTTGGCAATGTTGGGAAAAAATGCTCACTGTACACTGTACACTGTATACGAAGGCTTAACCACTCTCTCTATCTCATTGATACCTCGCGAACAAACTGAGCCCATGAAATCACAGGCCTTTGCGAGAAAGAAGGGGTTAGGATGGATATTTACTTTACAAAGAAAACATCCCACATGTAGCAATGGGGGGGGACTCTGCCGGGCCAAGCCAGCCAACTTAATGGCAGCAAGTTGCCACAAGTCCCCCAACACGCCAACGCCACTGTATCACTTGTCACTAGTAGCGATGCCCTTGCTCCTAGTAGTACGGCCAGGAGCCCCTAGTAGCGTGGCACTTGCTCCTAGTAGCGATGCTAGGAGCCCCGTTCGTAGCTTCTTGTTACTACTAGTAAGGCTAGTAGCGATGCACTTGTTCCTAGTAGCGTCCTCTTGTCACACAGCGTCGATCCTCGGGGCCTCCATCTCAGGATCCAAATCCACGCCAATGATCTTCCTATGTCTTGGGCTATTGGATCCTGTGTGGGAGTCCTGAAACTGCTCCACAGAAACCGGTCATGAGAACCCAAGGCCCAAGTTTGAAGATTTGGGATCTTCACAACCTCAAATTCCAACAACTATCAACAACTTAAGCGACTTAACGCAACTCAGCTCAACCCTCCCCAGCCAGTGTCCACAATTGAGACCACGCTCTCGGCAATCTTTCGATGTCTCAGGGAGATCAGCATTTCCACCTGTCTTCGGAAGGTAGCTGGAAACAGCGGGAATTGGGACTTCCAAATATCTGTCCAGTCTGTGCCTCATCTCCCGAAAAGCAACGCTTTCCGGCCTTCAAATACTCAAATGATCTCAAATGCACCAAAGCAACACCTGCCAGCCTCCAAATTGTCCAATCACCCTCACCCATGGAATCATGGTTGGTTTTATCATGGAATCATGGTTGGTTCAAATCTGTCCCTTTCGCTCACTCCGGAGTCTCAACCCCTGCTCCCACTCTCCAAGCCACCGGGTGCAGCTCATCTTCCAAGGTGGGGCACAGCACAATCACTTGCCCTGAATCCGTAGCCGCCAGCACTGCCTTGGAGAAACCAGGTGACGCGTCTGTTCTTCCTTACAGGACCCAAAAGCAGAAACACTTCAATCCAGGACGTCAACCCCTTAACCACTTCGCATGAAGTCCATGGCACCCCCGCACCTGCTCCACCTGCCCCAGCTAGCACTTAGGTTGCGGCCCATCCCATGTCCACGAAGCCCTTCCGCTGGCTGCAAACCACCGCGTCGGAGCCCTCCAAGAGCTGCAGCGCCACCAGGTTGCGGCTCGGTAGTGCTGGGCCCAAGCGCCAGGTCTTCCTCAACAAGTAACAAGGCTTCGTGGGACGGATGCTGAACGGACCAGGTCTGGCCATGAAAATCAACGAAAAACATACCTCCAAATCCACAACCAATGAACTTGCCCTGACCCTGGCGGGACTGTGCTTCCTGCTGGCTCAATTTCGATCTACCACCCTGCAACAGTGCCGTTCCCAATGCAGCCTAATTCATAACCATGGCATACATTATACAAATTTAATCTGTAACTCCGTGGCCGTGGCCCATTCTCCACAGCCAGAGTCAACGCATCGACTCCAAGCATCTTCCCCGGGATCCATGGGTAGATTGACTGCTCGGTGAGGTTGTGAGTCTCTTGGTGTAGCATCAGCACCTGAAGTCCATTTCTGTTCAGGGCTCTTTTGACTTTGGTCTCAATGCCTCAAAAATACTGCATGGGTTGGAGCCTCATCACTCTATAAGTGGCGCTGGACCCAGAAGCACCTGGTTTGGTTGTTTCCTCATTCGATTCCCACCTTCCCCTTGCGCCGCAAGATGCCAAAGCCAATCCAGGCGGCCTCACGAACACAAACACAGGCTGGCCCTTTCTGCCACCGTGCGAATGGATCAAGAAGAAAGGACCGAAGAGTGAGCAAGGGATGATCTGGCGGTCACTGTAAGCATGCTGTCATCACAATGCCCGGATGTATTGCTGCAGTGCCACGCTTTTTCGAAAGAATATGCAGACAAACCATCCATCCTCTTGAAAATGGTCATTGTGTCTCAGCCCAAATGTACAGCTTTCACACTTGGGATGAGCCATGAGCCATGTGGGGGTAGAACTTTTAGATTCTCATGAGTTCTCATTTGAGGATCTCGCTCCAGCTTTCGGCCACCTCACCTCCAGCTCAATGGCCGGGATCACTGGGTGCAGCGTTACATTCTGCAGCTTTAGCGGGCGCCTGGGAGGATAACACGAGATGCCACCTGCAGAACCCTGAGGAGAATGCTACAGACCTTGCAAGATTCTGTGCATCTTGTGTGGTGCAGGAATTTCTGAGTATCTGCAGGTGCCTATCCGATGAGGATGGAGCACTCGCACCTGCATTCAACTACTGTACGCTTCTATACCAGGTCTCATGTCTTATGTGAATCCCACATCTCCATAGATTGCAAGGTCGTCTTGAAGTCTTGTCCATTTCTATAGTCAATGGTCTCTACACTTTCTGTCCATCAATTATTCTGTGCATCACCGGTCCCAACCCCCCCTGCCCACCAGCTCTATGCACCCCCAGCGGCTTCTCCACGTCCGCCAACCGCTCGTGACGCCGCAAATGCCGGCGGCCACGCAGCGAGTGCACGTCAGCGTCATAGAGCTCCACGGCCTCCTGGTCCCAGTAGAGCTCACCGCTCCAAATGGCAAACCTTGCGTGGAGGCGACCACCAAACCCACATACGAGCAAGAGGATGCTACTATTACTAGGAGCAAGAAGATACTAGGGGCTCCTGGCATCGCTATTAGGAGCAAGTGGACGCTATTAGGAGCAAGAAGCCACAGGTGTTCATGGATTCTCAGGACTTGCTGGAACGACTCATACCTGTTTCCAGTTTCACACCCCACCCAACGACTCAAATCCGCCCGAACTGGTCCAGGCTGCTGGTCACCCACATACACCGTGGCGTCGTTGGTGCCACACGTCATAGCACTCGGCCTGCGATGAATTGCATTTTAGCGGTATAACCAACCGCAACCCATTTGAAGAAAAAAAACTCCTGTCACAATGGTATATTTACACAAAACGGTTTTACCCCGCTGAAAACTAACATGGACCCTGAAAACCACTGGTTGGTAACGGAATACAGTGTCTTTCAGGGTGCCATTCTTAAGATCCATTTCAGTCTTCGGGAGTGTACCCAGATTTTCCAGACACTATAGTCACTATATATACATATAAGAAACTGGCAATCGTTTCCTGGAGAACTCCTCCATCAGTCTACCAGAAACAAGCTTCTCAAGAACGAAGCTGCAGAGCCGTGGCGTTGGTGCACAAACTGCCAAGCCGAGAGGACCTCTTGCGTCGCTTGCGTGGCAGCTCCTTAAGTGGCAGCCGAGAGGCCGGAAGTGACGATGAGGCCAATTTACATTCAACTTCCGCAGCACGAACGGGTTGTACAACTCACGAGGCGCAATGGGGGTGTCGTAGTACATCCTTGGCGGAGAGTGACGTCATCGTGGTATCTATCGGGACACATCCGTCCGTGTTACTGAGACTTCAAGAAGTAAATTGCGGCGCTTGATTCAGCTTCCGCACCAAGTTCGTGCCAAGGCACGGGTCAAAGAGAACCACTAGGATAGAGCCCAGCCAAACCAGTAACTGAGCAAGGCAAACGCGCTGCAGACTCTTCCAGGGCAAAATGCTGCCTGGGCTTGACAAACAACCACACATGCCTGCCCTGCCCTGTCACTCAAGATTCAAGATTCCCTGCTGGGTCTGCACAAGCTCTTCTTTCGTTGTGGTCGTGCTATGCATTACAGCAGCAAATTGCAAAGATTCAATTCATCTACCAAAAGTAGCCACCAGCGGTCATGGAGGCCAGTAAAAACACAGCAGTGTGCTTTGAATTCAAAACCAGCGGCTGCTCATCTCGCTCTCAGGCGTAATGGGCATTAGCTCAAATGGCAGGGCCTCACGGAGAGGAACTGGGTAGAGGCTGCTGTCAACAGCTCTCTGTTACCCAAACATAGCTCCTTCCAGGTTGAATAGACTACTGTCTACTGTCTACTACTTTCCTCTACTTTCGTTGGGCCCAACCCGTTGGCTGCGTTTCTCCACCTCCAAGCCGCCTCAGCATCCACCATGGGGCCCGTCACGTCTTCCGAGCTATTAATGCGATCCAGCAGCTCCTGGAGAGCCAAGGAGCGAAGATCAAACCGTTCTCGTGAGAGCCTTGACCCCTGGGAACTTGTTGCAAAGCACGGTTACTGTTCATCGACGAGTGAAGAAAGTCCAGAATTTCTGTGCTTCAGACATGGATGAATGGCAATCATGGGATGGCTCTTGGTGCAACGGTGGACAAGTTCTTCCCACCGTAGCCTTTTCACTCAATCTACAAGAGCACTGGCCTGTACGGACTCGGTGATGCGCACAAGATCCAAGATCATGCCATCGGGCCGCGACCAAACCACCTCTCAGGTTTTGAAAGTGCCAAGGCCCTCTGGAAGTGAGCATCTAAGATTCGCACCAAAATACGTTTGGATTTAAGAAGCTCAGCTCTTCCCTAAAGGAAGGTAGCTCCCGGTTTTGTTTTAAATCTTGGTGAGATACTAAGCACGTGGTGACACCTAGCCGGCGACGGCCCAATCATCCCATTCAATCCGATGGAGTTTGTCCTGCCTGGCCAGACCGGCAATCCACCCAGTAGGGCACCAGGCTCCCGCTGCCTGATCGGAAGAACCATCTCTGATGACACATCGACTCATTCACCCTCATGTTCACCCTCGTTGACGGCAACCTATTGATCTTCTCCATGAAAACACGCTCACTTCAGTTCAGACTTCGGAGCAACCTCAGATTCTGTGTCTCAGCTGCTCTCGTTTCAAACGAAGACTTGGTTCAAAATGGCCAGTAGAGTGATTCTGAGGATTAGTCATATTTATATATATATATATCCAATCGCATAAATTGAACCTCAAATAGCTGAATGTCCACTTCTTCCCTTCCCCACATCCAAACACCCCCCCACCATCGTCGCAAGCACTCTGGAGCCAGGAGCTCCCCATCGGTGAGGACTGCCTTGCGGGGCTTCGAGAGCGAGCCAGTGCCAGCACGAAACAGCACGGTATCCTGAGCAAACACCGTGGAGTTCAACAACAAAAGGCCCGCCTGCTCCAGCCCTCCGAAGTTTGTCGACTCCAGGGCATGGACAGCTGACTCTGCAAATCCTGGGGGTCGGAACTCAGAAAGATGTTGAAATCCTAAGCTAAGGCCAGTCATTTTGGTGAAATCCAGTTGGCCTTTTGGGGCATGCTCTTTCGGGGAGGCTCTTTCTGGGACTTGTTCGTGACGGGTCATCTTTTGGATTGAACTGACTCACAGGCCACGACTTCGAGCCCAGACAATCGACCGGACTATTTTCCTCCGCACAAAGGCCACTTTGTGCCTACTTCTGGTCCATAGCACACAGCCATCGCCCTATTTCTTGAGACTTCAAGACTTCTCTGAATGTGTCTTGGTTTGTATTTCTCGTTTGTCTCAAACACCGGACTGATCCCGGACTTTGCGGGTCACCTTCCTTTGCCCGCGCAAGTCAATTTACGCTTGAAAAAATGGCAAAGCCTATCGCAGATCCGGTGGCAAAGCAAGAGAACCAGGAGCACGCACGCAGCCGGGACTGTTTTGCAGTCTGCTCAGTGTCTCAACACAAAGAAGCAACATTGGATGAATAGGGCGTTGCTCAACACCCTTCACAAGTGTGAAGCAGAAACATTGAACTGGATAGCATCTCTCAAGTGGCCAATCTTGCACAAACCAACTTCAGCGTGGCCCTTTTAAAGTCTCTGCCAGCCTCAGCGCATGCAGGTTCAGATGCGGCAGGCACTCTTCTCCTGGCAAATCTCGCTCAGCATCAGTCAGCATCGAATAAAGCAAATGCAACACACTTTCCTACCTACTTGCGCTGCTTCTTCTCACCAGGTTTGCACAGGTGGCAAAACTTGCAGTCTTTGCCGTCCTTGGAGAAGAAACATGAGTAGAACAGTAGAACATAATTCATAATACCATTTGTGGCCTGTCATTTCATGAGTCAATAACTTCAGCACAACGTCCAAGTAATTGAGGCTCCCACTTTGCAGGCATTGGTATTCCAAAGTGTACAGGGTTTGCAGATTCGAAGATGGTGTCCTGAAAAAGAAAACAAGAACGACAACTTCAGCAGGGTGTAAATACATTCGGCCCTTTGGAGCAAAGCCACCTCAGCTAGCTCAAGCAATACTTGTAGAAAAAACATCTAGTAGTAACAGGTGCCACGCTAGTAGTAACAGGTGCCTTACTAGTAGTAACAAGAAGCTATTAGAAACAAGTGCCACGCTAGTCTTGGATTGCTTGTCCATGTTGGTCCTGTGGACCCGACATTGAGGTGTTGCCCATCCACTTTGCCCGGTTCCAGCCTACGCCAAAGCAATCCCGGCCATGTGCACCGCTCTTTGATCGCAAGTCACCGCAAGTCACAGGGCATGTGGGCGATTGGTCAATCGTTTGAATTGGCAGCACACCGACACAACTCTTGACACAAAAAAAGTACAGTAATACTCAGTAATACTGTAGAGAAAAATTAAGCAACACAAATCACTTGTCTGATAGTGCACATTACTGAACATGAATATATATATATAGTTTCATGTGGCTGACTTTGGTTTTCACACCGATCAAGGCCTTTGTCCCTCCTCATGCCAATCCTGACAGCCAAGAAAACTTAGCTGAATTGGGTTAAGAGGGTGGTCAAAATCAGAAACTAATGTCAATAAATGCAACTCATCATGCTCACATTGCATCCCTGTTTGTGATAATGACGTCGCGACAGTGATTTACTTTCCTGAAAGGCACTCTATGACATATCTATACTTGCATGCACCTGTACATGCCGTCAGCTTGACATCCTAGAGTTGGAACAAACACACACGTATACAGATGACCATTCTCCCTGGCAGTATTGTGCAAGGTTCTCCTATGAGCAAGAGAGCTCCAGACAATGGAATTTGCAAACAGACATAGTGTTCAAACATCAAGCGAAAAGCATCTTGAACCCGGATGAGTTTCGTCGTCGACTTCAGAGTCTGAGTACTCATCGTCGGCATCGTCAGCACGATCATCTGGAGACACCTGAGGCAAGTTGAGGAATCTGAGACTTCTCCTTAAAACTTCCTTAAATCCTGCTAGCGTGGAGGTGGGATGGCAAAAAATAGGTTTCAGGGGGAATATGTTATGCGTTGCGTGTTTGTTGGTGTTCAATCTGCTTGCTTTGCTGTTGATGATTGCTTGTCTGGGGTTGGTTGGGACACTCTGTTGGCCGGTATTGGATGAGATGGATTCTTGTGTTTTCTCATGTTTTTTTCCTTTTTGTGGCTCGAAGGTTGAAGTTCTGATGTAGTTTTGGGGTTACATAAAATATGTTGCTGGGTTGGGGTTTTCAGCATCCGAAGTATTGATCCTGGCTGGTCTTGCGCTCTCTCGCTCATTTCTCTTCCTTATATACCCACATTGACATTCAATCTTTTGCTTAGGACAGTATCTACAGCTGCATCTTATAGATAGACTAGGACCACACTCCTACCCACGTATCCTGCTGATTTTTCCAATAACGCTGCTCAACAGATTTCCTGGCTCATAATATAACAAATGTCGAAGGACCGCAAGGGTGCTCACGCTCTTCTTGAAGATGTTCGGCACTAAGCAAAATCCCTAAAGCTGGCACCCCACTGACCCCACTTCAATAATAATCAAAGCATTGCTTTTCACTAGGAAACACTATGCCTTGATCCAACTGTCTATTTGCTCCTTCCATGCAGCAAGGCACTCGGCCGACTGCACAGGGCCAAGAACCTGCAGATCCTCCTGAGCAACACACGTATGTCCTACTGCAGCGTCCAAGGTGGTGTCCTGGCATCTCAATCAAAGACTACCTGCCATTCATCGCTCAAAAACAGGGACAAAGGTGTATTCACCATTTTTTTCCTCACGGGCCCCGGGCTGTCCTGTCGACCCCACGTTGAGGTGTTCCCCATGCGGAAGAAGCCTCAAAAGCCAAATGGACTGTTTAACCACGTTGCAACCGCCCAGGCTGCTAGCCTTCGGAAGCACACTCTCTTTGTATTACCTGGTATGTTCCTTTGCCAAGGTTCAACCCAAGGAGAGATTTGACAACCCTCATGACCAGGTTGTAATCGTGTATGAGGGTTCTGCTGCCGGGCAACCACAGGCTGGCCTTTGTCAGCACGGGCGTCTGTGAGTCTTCGGCCCAACCGCCCTGACAGCAAGCGTAAACTGCGAGAAAACATGTGTAATGAAACACTTTGAGGCTAGAAATGCCTGAGTTTGCATAAAGAAATTCATCAAAATCGGCAAAGGCATGCACATAGATGTGCATGTACAATACGTATCAGTGCCAATGACACCTGTTTGCACAAAGAAACCCATTCCACAAACGATACCCTCATGCAAGAATGAATGCTGCTCAAAGGTCTTCAGAAGTCGAATGTTAATATATAAGTTGGAGCTCTTAGCAGCACACCAAACACCTTCATGTTGCAAGTCTCCAGTGGGAACCCTGATGGGTGCGCACTGATCTCCCATCTTCAAGGCCCATCTGCCAAAACGTGCTTCCAACTCTGCAATCAATAGGAACCAGGCTGGTGTGGCCAGACTCCATCAGATGTTATAGCTGGAGGAGATATTGAAGCTACAACAAGGTGTATATTATATATATATAAAGTTCTCATGTTTTTTTTGTACACAGAGTCGGCGAGCATGACATACCTGCCAGTCTTCAGCCAAAGCACTTTCTTCTGAAGCAGACGGACCATCGCACCCCTCATTCGAAGTTTGCGTTCCCTTTCCCTCCTTAGCCAATAGCGAGGGCGCAGCTCTGCCCCAACAGGTCCCGGCACGGGACAATTCTTTGGAAGAAATGGCAGCAATGCATCCAACCAAAAAAAAAGTGACATCAAAGCCAACATCACTACCAAAACCACCTGCATTTTCCGTAAAAATCTAAGAACCACACAGTTTCTTCACGGAAACTACCCCCCCGCGCTCAGGCAAGTGGAGCTTCCTTGGAGAAACATGAGATTTCCTGCGTCCTAAGCAGCAACTTCGTAGCTACAGTTTGACCCTTACAACTAGCGACTTCAGCTAGCACGGCCTACCCCTACAAAGAAAAAATGCCATCTTTGTGACGCCAAGGTGCAAAGTCGACATCTTCGTCTTGTGCTCCCAAAGCCGGGCCTCAAACTTCTGGCTCAACTGCAGCATCACCTGCAGTCCGTCTCTACAGTCGTGGTCAACTTACTTCAGGTCATGCTAGGGATTTAGATGGATCGAATGCTTCATGTGTTTTCTGGATTTCAACTGTATATACTCGGTCCTTCTCCTGCGATTGATCCTTTTTCTCCTTCAATGGAGTAGTGGATGGGTCTTCTGACCCGACCTGTCCTCCGTTGCCTCTCGCATACACTTCAACTGTGCTCCCAAGCAACCGTGTGCCAGCAGAGTTTCCTGCGGTATGAAATAGGACAACGGATCTGGTCACAGGATCATGGGTGGCTAGGTATCTAAAATAAAAGCTCCTTCAGCAAGCAAGGGATGATGCAAAAGGCAGTACGGGGTTTCATGGAGGAAAGGTTCAAGACTGAAGAGATTGCCTGCCCGAATTGCCGCTCCCACAGGGAATCGCAAGCGCCCTTGCCACAGAAGGTAGCGGCACAGGGTCAGTGTGTGCAGGAGGTAGGGCAGCAATCCGCTTCTGAGTGCCGGATTTCAAAGTGGAGCCAATGGAGCGCATGTTTGGGAGGTGTTGGAGCCGAAGAGCACCAACCACCAACGTAAGCCTCGCCTGATGCGCTTGAGTCAATGCGGCCCCTAATTTTTTTGGACACATAGGGAGAGTACTGATCGAAGGGTCTGGTGAAGACCTGTGCAGCGCACAGCCTCGGCACCCGGAGGGTACACAGGATGGCTGAGGTCAGCCGTTGGCTGTCGGTAGCCTGAGAAGCCAGTAGAAGTCATCGATGACAGCCCCAGCCGAGGGGAAAAAGGCCATAGAGGATCGGAAGTATTGGAGCTGCCAGTCGGCCCCAATAAAGTTGTACGCTGGGCTGGCTTGCCATTGGCTGCTCTCATGGTCTCTGACTTTGTCTCGCCCATCAGTTCCTACTAGCTGTCTCGGTCAGGGTGCAGTTACACTGATGGGCAGCCTGTTCCTTGGTCAGGCGTGGCAGGATCATACCCAGTGGAACTTCTTCCTCGAAGGTTGCTCTGATCTCTCTCGAGAAGTCCAGCACCGAGGGGTAGTTGCGGCACCTGATCGGTTCATCCAGGGCCAGGCCGCCCCAGCCGCATGCGCTTGACCAGTCACTACCTCAGGGTCCTCCAGGTCCAAAAGATCAAAGCTCTCAGCGGTCGCCGAATACACCATGGCAGTGATCGAATGAAAGGTGCGGTCGACCGAGCTTTTTCACCAATTGAAATGCAGGTGAGCACTTCACTCGCTTGAGCCAAAATGTCCCAGTGCAACATTTTGGTGTCTTATCGTGAACATAAACCTTGCAAAGGCAGGTTAAGTGCAAGGAGAAGCGCCATCACGGTCTGATCGAGTAAACACACCCTGGATTTTACTTCCTCAACTTATGGGAGTCGTTGATGCAATCAACGACCATCGACCCTTGCAACGGTGGGCACCATATCGTCGTAGTCTGATGTGGTCTGTAAGACCTGGATATGCACAAGTTTCACAAAAAGCCCTGCCTCTACGGCACGGTTCAGTAGCTCCTGCTCCTGGTCCTTCTCTTCATCCACTCCCAGCCAGTCTGATGCAGCCATGGCGGAATTCCGGCTCTGATTGAGCAAATGGCATGCCGGCGACGACACTTCCCATCAGAAGGAAACAATCTCTACTCATGGACTGGAGCATGCTTGGACCCTGTCCAATCCCAATAGGAAGCGACTTTGAGTTGATCGAAACACCAGTTGTCCCTTCCTGATACAGTAATATCTCGGAAGATCTCCTTGAGCTCCTCATCTAAGACCGTCTTCATGTGTTCCACGCTCGCTTTATCCTGCACTCGTTTGCTCGCATTGCTCCACGGAAAAGCAGTTCAGCAGCGTCCTTGTCTTCCCAGTCCCACACCCTCAAGTTCATCTGCAACAAAAATGAACAAACAAGATCCACACAAACCAAACAAACTTCGGTACAAAGGGCACTCTCCCCTTCATAAGGGTTTCTCCTGAAGACAGGATTCCTTGGTTTCCATGCTTTCCCGTTCTCTCTTCTCCCAAACACACCATGGCTGCGCTGTTGTCTTGATGGGCCCCTCGTGTCCTCCCGACCCAACGCCGGCGCCGCTCCTCCGGCGCGAAGTGCTTGGCCGACTCCGGGCGGCTGAGCTTCGAGAGGGTACGGCTGAGGCGCTTCGCCTCTCGCAGTGGATTAGGTGCTTTCACCTCTCCTAAATTGAAGCTCCTCCATGTTCCTCCATTTATCTAAAGGTAGTGGTTTTAGGGTTTAAGAGCAACTTCTGGCCAGACCAAGCTGCTGCTCCTTACCCACCCCATGAATGGGACAAGTTTCTTATCAATCGACGACATCATCGGAAGAATGCACCACATGAACGTGCATGTAGCAGTTCAACCCGGTAGGGTTTCACCTTCAATACTCTCTGCCTGCGCCTGCCCATGAAATGTATTCCTCTATGCATGAATGGTGTTCTAATTGAGCTATTGGCCTGGACAAAATCGAAATCTCCCAATGAAACATACACGAATACATCATAGTACCTCCTAAATCACAGCTCCACTCCAAGGCGCTTCACGCAACCCTCCACAGCCTCCGTAAAGGTCGCAAAGGCCCGGCGTTGCTGATCCCCACCGGGCGACATCGGCAAGAACGAGGTCTCACCGTCGTGCGCCCCGTGCGCGTCGTGAGCGCCCCGCACGTCCCAGTGGGCCAAAGGCCCTTGGTGGTTCTCCACCACCGAGGCACGGAAGTGGCGGCCTGGGGAGAGGCGCTCTGGCGGCATCTGCACAAAAAATAGTGAAGGACCAAGTGGTGAGAGGTATGTTGAACTTTCTGTTCTTTCGGGTGGGCAACAAGTCATGTCCCTCCTGCGACTCAGTTTGACAACCCTGGTCGCTTTCAAGTAATGACTCCTTGCCCTTTTCCAGAGAACAACCCAAGCCGAGCCCACAAATGCCACCAATCACAGCTCGAGGAGCTGTGCCAGCCGAATATGTCCAGGTAGATGGCAGCCCTGCAAAGGGCGTTGATCTTTTTTTGCAATGTCAAGATCAATCATTCTTGCCCAACAAAGCAGGGACTTTTTGAAGTTCCGGAAAATCCTTTCGTCAGCTTTCCTTCAAACTAAATAAGTGAGGAGGAATCCACCGGCCTCGTGAGATAAACCACCAAAAAAAATCCCCACAGGTTCAATAAATCTGCATGGTCAGACTCACCAAGAGTATTCACAGTCCTCATACCCAGGCCTAAAGGACACCGGAAGCTCCATGTTGGCGAGGAGGGGCCTAGACACCTGAGTTTCATAGAGACAGATCGCGAAGCCGTTGTTGGTTGACGAATGTGAACCCAATTTAAAGCACCAAAGTGCAAGGCACACTATATGAGGGCAGAAATCACTTGTGATTCTTTCTTGTGAAGTCATATATGCTGTCGCATTGCCACAGCTCAAGCTGAAACTTTCACCGCTAAAGTGTTCACCTGACAAAAATGCACATCCTTGGCTCAAAGAACCTCATCTCCTGTCAGAACGCGTTCGTCCAACATCTTTTGTGCGTCAAGGCACAAAAAGGATGATGAGTATCCACAGCATGTGGCCTTGGAAGGTGACTTCCACAGGCGCTTTGGTCGGACAAAGCTGGGTGAGAGACGAGGAATTGCAAAAGAACGGACAGGGAAGACATTTGGAACAGTGCGGGCCGCTTTCGCAACTCTTTCGTGGATCTCACGCCTATTGTTTGGCCATCACCTATGGCCCCGCCCCTAGACTAAATAGATCTGTAACTATATAGATACTCTTCTGATCTGACTGCGCCCAGCTTGTCGGATTTGACTAGGAGAACACAGTCCCCACACCGCAGCCAAAAAAACATGTGCACATTTGGACTTCATATAGTGGAAGCCAACGTAACCACTGAGTATAGGAAGGCCCGAAGCACGACCCCTCTGTGACCAAAATCTTCACCAATCATGTCCCATCGCTGCCAGGCAGCAGGAGCAAGCCAACAAGGCAACCTTTGCAGCTCACTGACCGAGACGAGTCACAGTTCAAAGTCCAAAAACCGTCTGTGATCAAGTTTTGCACACAGGTGTCAGGTGAAAAAAGGGAGAATCGGCGAAAGGGACATCAAAACTCAGCGCATTCTTCCTGCAAACAGCTAAAAATCAGTGTATCATACAGTCGAAGCACTATCCATGGTAGCCACACCGGCACGATCTGGTCGCAAGGCCGTACACCGCCTGGGACAAAGCGACAAATCGGTGCAGCTTTGTTGTAGCTTTGTAGCTTGGGACTGGGAGTATTAGACAACCCTCAAGGCATGATGGGAGATTCGAAGTCTACTGCCTACTACAATGTCACATTAAGACCAACTTGCAAATTGGTGAGGGAGCACGCATCATCTGGGCAAACTGTCCATCGCATCTAGCGTGTTGAGCTACTCTGGCCTCATTCTCCAATCCCGACTGCCAAGCACTTGCGCAACTCCGTATGTGAAGAAATCTCAATTGCCTTGCCCTGCCTTTCATAAGCATCGCAGCATGGTACAATTCATAGAGTTAGGTACTGCCAACATCGAAATGCAATAAGCTGGAGAGTCCAACTCCACTTCAAGCTTCCCTGTCGTTCCGCCGTACCTTCTCCGTGCTTGGTACGGATGTTGAAGAGCTGTGTGGCCAAGGCAGCCAACATTGGCGCAAGCCAAAGACCCAGCTGCACGAGCCGCCTATGAGAAAACAAGAAGCGTAGGCGGCTTTGTGTGTGTGTGGCTGCATGTTGTGGGTCTCTAAATGTTGGTGGTTCTTGCCACAATACGATGGTGCCATTTCTATTTATGATCCTAGAGTCATCTGAGACCCTCTAGAGGGGTTGTGGAACATACAGGAAACTTATATAACTTGGCAGCTTCAGGAAGTCTGCCTCTCTTGGCAAAGAACATGCCACTTGTTTTGCCCTTCACCAACCCCTGGCCTTTGCTCCTTCTTCATGTACAGGTCCAGCTTAAACAAAATCCAGCACGCGTATACCCCCATCAGCAACGCCAGCCATGCGCCCTCAGTGTTCTGCACAGGTGATGGCCAGCCTTGGGGAGTGGGTTTCAAATCAGTGCCTTTGCTCCGTCTCTATCTATCTATCTATCTCTCTCTCTCTCTCTTTCTCTCTTTTCACTTTTAAGTTTGAAAAAGCCGGACCTACAAACCGTCCCGGAGCCAAATAACATCCCCCGACTTCGCAGGTGGGTTTGCTCCTTTTAAGCCCCTTTCTTGACCAACGCGGCCCCGGCAGGCCTTCAGACTTCAGCATGAAGTGCCCCAGTGCAAAGTAGGACTCCACCAGCACTAGCTGTTGGGCGGAGACTGCTAGCGAGATCCGCGCGTACGCATCAAAACAGGCATAGCCACGCTGCACCCGGCGCAGCATCCAGAAGTGCGAATAGAGTGCAGCACTGCGGCCAGGGCCACCATCATCCTCACGATGGTAGAGTGCCAAACCATCTGAAAGAGTCTGAAACAAGAGTTCCTCTACTTGTGGTCAAAGCCAGTAGATTGGTTGGATAATGGCATACATGGAGATACCACATCAGACATGAGATATGCATTTGTCAGATTGCAGACTATCGAATTCCCAAGCTTCCCCCTGATTCACCCTCGCAGACCAGGTCCTCGGTGTGCAAACGCTTCACGACACCTTCAGTCGCATGGGCTGTTTCATCAACCCAGCGCAAAACCTCCATCTCTTTTGTCACAGGAGTACTCCTACCACGGAAGTGTTGAAGAAACCACTTATGTAGAAAGCAAAAGAGGTCCACTTCTGCATGGGGGCCCCTCGACATTTCTTGGAACCTTTATTGAAACTGAGCCCTGGCTAGAACAGCTCGTAAAGTAGCCCTCCACCACAACACTCAAACGCCAGGTTCATTCCATAAAATGCAGGGGACAACGGTTCATTCCAGGAACAAGAAGCTACTAGTAACAAAGGGCATCGCTACTAGGAGCAAGGACGCTACTAGTAGCTCCTGGCCTTACTACTAGGAACAAGAAGCTATACTATATAGTAACAACGGTTCATTCCAGGTCCTTGTCTTTCGGATTGCCGGCACGGAGGCTGCGCGCCGGAGGCTGGAGATGTTTTGATGGACCCGGTCGTGTGCTGGCAGCTCTCCGTCTTGCAGGACACTGGGGACCTGTCGGTGCAAAGAGGCTGGGGACAAGAGCATAAAACACAGCCTCTCTCTGCTAGCGGCTACTAGGTTCAGACCTTGACTGGAAAATGTCTAAAGTTCAAGACAATCCTTTTCGCCTGAACGAAGTTCTTTGGGAGCGCCTCATACTCCTGCGCAAGTAGTCACATCAAAAGCTGCTAGCAAGCCCAAACCCCATGAGTACAAGAGCAAGACTGGACTCCGAAGATGTTGAACACAAACCTTAGATCTCAACACGTGGCAGTTGAGTCAGCATCCATCACTCCTCCTGCGCACGCATTGCCTCTGAAATCTCCAGAAGGGAGGCCACGGGAGGGCGTACCGCCTGGTCTATGGCTGTAAGATCGTGGTCTATGCTGGTTGTTGCCCTTGTTGGCCACACTTCCAACTTTGGAGATAAAAGACATCTCTGAGTACATCATCATGGCTGAAAATGGGGTGGTAAAACCTACAGCCCCTGCATCTGATAATTTGAGACAGACATGACATATCCACAGATCTTTTGTCGATGCTATTGTTCATGTTGATGGTGTTTGCTACTGTTACGGCGAGCGGCTCCCAAAGGGTGTGTTTGCAATACGCCCAATGAGTGTGAACAAATGGTGTGACAGCAGTGGCAGCATGGTGTAGTTGTAGCACGTCAGGAGAGACAGTAATTGTGGCAAGGCCATCTGCCAGTGTCACCTAGATTCCCAGTTTCCAGGGCACCAGGCCTGAGTCAAGATCTTGGTGGAGGCTGAAGTAGCTGCAATGGAGCCATTCATGGCCAGCCAAACGCCCACCATACCGAAGATGATGCAACTGAAGACGCAGTTGTTCCTTCACACGAACCCACACAGATCCCTAATCACTAGGGTCGAGGTAATCTCACCTCGCGACCGGAACACGCACTATCCTCCAAGAAGCATTCCATGGAAAACCACGACTTCGTCTTCCTTTTTGTTGAAAAAAACACATCTTCTTCGTAAGACCAGAGCCACTGCGATCAGCTGGCCACTTACTGACAGATCCCAGCCCGGGCAGTGCTCCTCTGTCATGCTTCCAAGTACTAGCCCTAGCCATGCAGCACCAACCGCAGTCCTGAACGTCACCATATTTTACCACAATCATCCCCTGATCATCTGAACTCGTCACCGTGAAAAGGATTCCGAACACCTTTCCAGTCAGACAGGACATGTTTTCCTGTATCCCTCAGCCCTCAGCACAGACCTCAACCCGATGACTTCGCCAATGAATTCGGCCACTCCGATGACTTCGCTTCTACTTCTTCGATCCCCAAAGCCAAGGCACCAAATGACCAGTAGCCAGGGCGGCTCCATGGGGAAGGTGGGATATCCCACAGCCATGAAGTTCATGACCTCAAAGTTCACCGTTCAACAGGCTGTTCTAGCTCTCAAGGGGGTCTCTAGCTGTTCTAACTCTTGTTGCAAAAATCATGTCCACCTCCAAGGCCTTCCCTCAATAAATCAATGCAGGAACGAGGAGAGCAAGTCGATAAAAGTCGTCAATTGATGTCAATTGTCAATCGTCACTTATGGAGAACCAGAAGACAAGTCTCCAAGACTCCTCGAAAAGTCCTGATCGTTTTCTCTGCAGTGGCTTTCCTGTCAAATTTGGCAAAATGGCCGAGGCGATGATCAAAGTCCCTACCACCATATAGTTGTCCATATTGGCCCTGGTGCACTCGAAAACATCTCGCACATCTTCCCGGAAGAGATTCCAGAGCTCGATACGCATGTCCTCTCAACAAAGGTCAAAGTTGGTGATCCAAGTCTCTTTGTCAGTGACATGCGAACTGTCTTGAGTCTTGGCGCACGGCGCGGTGCGCAGTGCGGCCAAAGGTCTGTCTCGCTGCCGTCTCGTGCGGCCTAGTTCCTAAAAGGTCGAGCTAAATCATTCGGTGTGCGAATGGGTCGACTGGCTGTAAAAGCTTGGAGAGTGTCTCCAATCAGCCGCAAGGATCTGTCCGAGAGAGGAAAAGCCATCCCCCGAAGCGGAGTCGCAACTCCCAAAGAAGATCTATCTAGATCCGAGACCGAAGTCAAACCAAGGTCAAAGTGGGTCGTGAAGGAACGAAGAAACCGAGAAATAAAGCGAACCCTCAAAGCAACGGTAACCTCATGATCCAAAGCAGGAGAAACACTAGAACGATCCCACCAGATTTGACCCTGGGCAGCCACCCCTGGCACTGGATGAGGTAGTCGCAGTGCAAAAGCCAGGGCGGCTAACTCGATCCAACTAACAGCAAAAACGGAGATGCAGGTGTCAGACTCCGTGGCCAAAAACGAAACAAATTCAAAAACGAATTCAGCCCCAAAAATTTTACAAAGCGGGCTAGCTAACCAACGGGGGTACCAGTCTATGGGTAAGACGTCCCCCAAAGCAGCGGCATGCGCCGGGGTTCTCTCTATCGAAAAGTTGATCTCATCCGAAGGTAGGTCCTCATCTTGGTCAGCAACCTCAGGGAGCATAGCTCCATGAGCAGCCAAGGCAAGATGGAACGCCTGAAAAATGCGCAAGCAGCGAGCTCCATCAGCCCACTCACAAGAAAAAACTTGCCAGAGTTCTTGAAACGACGCCGGGCGCAACTGATGGGCATCCTTAGCAGCAGTGTCGGCAATGTCATTCCAGTGGGCAGCCCAGGCCTCGACATCCTGAAGAGGTCCAACTGCGGCATGTCCGGGGACGTGTTGAACAAACACCTGTTGGGGATACAGCTGTGCTACTAACTCTGCAAGTTCCTTCCAAAGGTCCAAATGTGTGTCAGGCTCCAGCACTGTACCTTGCAGCAGGGCCAACAAACCGGCCGAGGCATATGAAGAGTCCGTCCAGATTGCGCAAGCAACCTCACAACGCAAACACCATCTGAGCGCAACTATCAATGCAAATAACTCTGCTCGGTTATTGCTTTGCAACAGGCCCACCATAGGCCCAGAGGCAATGATCTGAGCATGAGAAGCTGATATCACTGCCCAAGAAGCCAAGGTATATCCACCTGCACCCTTTGGCCAAGCACTGCCATCAGTGAAAATGTTGACCCTGCAAGTTGAATCAGCCAGAAACGCAAAGTTCCAACTCAAATCAGGCAATTGCAGAAGAGCATGCTTCAACTGCGCGGCAGTGCGAAGGCGACCCAAGAGCAATCTTTCACGTAAAGCGACTGTAGTTCGAGGCCACAACCTCCAAGCTTCAGGGTGAGCAGCACGAACAGAAGCATAAAACGGACACTCCAAAGCTCGATGAGAAACCGAGTCACAACCAGGCCACAATGCTTACATCTATCCCCTCGCAACTTGTCAAATTTTCCAATGTGCGCACCAGTGAAAAAGGCGCCTTCACGCAGAGCTGCTATCTACGATTGTTGAAGAGTAGGCAAGTGAGTGACAGCAACCGGCGGAGGCCAACACAGCCCTTCAAGTCCTTGGTAATCGGCCCGATGCCGAACCTCACGAGCCAGAGATTGGAACCAAGCGTCATGAAGCAAGTCAACCAACAACTCGGTGGGCATGGACAGAAGGTCATGGGCACAACCATCATGGTCCTCACACCAAGGAGGGTCAGTGAGAGTTGAGCAGATGAGTCGGCATTGTTCGCGAAGCTTTGTGAAGGGTCCAAAAAGACCTGGCGAGGTGGACTGCTCAAAGGCTTGCCAAAGAGAAACCAAAGGAGGTTGTTTGGAAATCAGACGACGAAAATCCAAGAAAGTGCGGATAAGCTGATAGCACCCATGAGGGTCTGTTTCAGGGGCTGAGGTCAGAAGCGAAAGGCGCAAACCCGGGTGAGCACCAGCTTTCTTGACACCCAGGGCGCGAACAGCTTGAGTCCGAGCTGCTGCGATGTGCCGGAAGGAGTGATGCAGATGGCATGAAGCCCACGGGGCCAAAAAGCCTGACGGATCACGTATTCCTTCAAAGCCAAAGGAGCCACCGAACGACGCAGAGCAGCCCAAGCTGGCTCAAGGGACTGCAGGCGTTGAACCTGAAGAGGGGCAGCTGAGCGACGCCCAAAGGCCAAAGCTCCACCCAAATCCATTGCGGTCAACTTGACTTGGAATTGAAGTGTTCGAAGCGCCGTACGATCCACAGGGCGAGTAGCCCAGCAGTATGTTTTCCGTCTGTCAAGACTCATGCCCCACATGTCAAAGAAAGAGTCCATAACATGGAAACTTCGAACCAGAGTAGTGACAGCGTCAGAGAGCAAGCTGAGATTGTCCACATATGAAAAAGGAACAGACGTCAGAGCAAAAATCAGCTGATGCTTGTCCCAACAAAAATCCAGCAGGCTCATACCCAGGACTGACAAAGCACATCCCTCCAGCAGCCCTGACGTAGAATTCAATGGACGGCCAACTTGAGCATGTATGCAAAATCTGCGACTACAAGATGCCAAAAAGCGAAACCAGGCGGAGGTCAAAGCAGAAGGCACTCCCAAGCAGTGACATAGATGCTCCAGTGGGTCACGAGGAATGGACTCAAAAGCTTTTTCGATGTCTGTGGAACATCCCAACAATGGCAAGTGATCAGCAAGACATGCCTCGATCAAAGCTTATAAACCAAAGATCTCCAGCCTCCCTATGTTCCAGGAACCCACACATACGAGGACCTGCGAATTGCGCCAAGGCTTGCAAAATACCTCGTGAACGAACAGAGGCCCAAGCACGATAAATCATACTGAAGACAATGATTGGACGGTAATCATTGACGACGGCGGCTTGCAAATGTTTAGGTAAGCAATGGCCAATCCCAAGGCATAGCTGTTTCGGCCAGTCAGCGCCCGCTTCAATCTTGCTCAATCCTTCCAAAAGACCGTGCTTAAAAACCTGTGGCGTACGACGCAGATCTAACCGATCAAAAGAGTCAGGACCACGGGCCGCATGAGGCTGGAAACGTGCCACCACAGAATCCCACAAAGGAACCGAAAGCTGTGGAAGCTCAAAAGGCAAAGGCTGAAGATAGACAGCGGTAAACCGCAGGATTCGACTCCACTGGTCAGGAGGGACCTGCTCATAGCGACTCCAGCGAGATTGCCAAAACGTGCCAACCGCATCAAGCATCTCGTCGGTGGTAGTCAGATGTGAGGCAACTGTGAGCACCTGGCCAGGGCACAACAACAAGTCACAGTCGATCTGAAACTGACCAGAGTCCAGACGAGACACGACGGCTGGCACATCATCCAATGTAGCAGAACAACCGGAAGGAAGCTCAAGGTCCCGATCAAGAGTGACAGTGAAGGTACCAGGAGCGACAGACAAAAGAGTGGCCGATTGCCGGGTCAGCAGGGAGTCCATAACGACACTGGGTTTTGACAAAATAGATCGAAAGGCCAACTTTGAAGATTCTTGCATGGACACTTTCAAAGCAGCGCGACGCTGTTGAAGATGCCAAGATTCAAAAGCTCGATAGTTCTGGCGAAAGTCCAAATAAATCGATTCAGCTTCCGCACAGGTTGGCAAAGTCCACTCAAGGACGGCTGGAGTTCCCTGAAGCTTGCGAGGTCGAAGCAGCCACCATGCCCGAAAAAGAGGATGGAAACCCTTGGCGCGCAAGACAGCAGCCCAAGTAAGCAGACGACTGTCTACAGCTTCTGGTGTACTCCGATTAGCGCGCAAGTTGTGGAGAAGGGACTGTATCCGCCTAAGTTGCGCAAACCACTGGCAGACCCGACGTCCAACCAATCCAGCCGCAGGGAGCACTTCGCCATGTCGTGAAGGTTTGATGACAGGCGCAGAAAGAGTGGTACGGCGAGGAGCCAAGAACTGACCCCTTCCATAGGCCGCAGGGGCAGTCCACTGCCAACAACGGAGCCATCAGGGCAGTGGCCATGGAAGCTAGCATCGAACGCCTGGCCAAACTGAGTGAACCATGAGGTGGAGTCAACAGAGTCACACCAATCAGGAGGAACGGTAGCTGGAGACGCCTGCCAGTGCGACAAATCCACGGAAGACCACGGAACCCTGGAGGTCATAGGCCAGCGCCAAGCCTGAGTATGCAAAAGAGGGACATCAAAATGCCCCACCAACGCAGCATGATCCGCAAAGTGTGGCAAGACCTCAGTGCGAAGGAGCGAGTGAGCAAGCTCAGGTGACAGAAAACATCGATCTGGCCGAGTCTTGCCGCGAAAAGTAGGCTGCACTTCGCCCCCCAAAACGCAGACACGAAAGTTCCTGAAGTTCAACCCATCCGGCGGCCTGCCAAACCTCAAATTCAACAAAGCTACCATTAAAATCACCAAAAAGATATCTGGGTCCAGCGGAACCATGCACAATTTCAACGGTAAGCTGATGCAGCAATTGAGCAGTGGCACGATGGGCTGAAGTCCAAGTGGGGCTAGTGGGCCAACCGTAGACCAGGCCGCCAAGAAATGAGAACGAGGTGGTATAAAACCGTGAGAGCATAACGCGACCTATGGCATGTTCATTGTGAGTCCAAGGCAACGATACCTGATGTCCTCCAATGTCCGCTAACTGCATAACCCCGGACCACGTACCAACGGAGGAACTCTGAGGCCGAAGACAAACCCGAGCGCCTGGTAAAACACGAAGCCGACGATTAGCCTGCTGAGCAAGGCTACGAAGGACCCGAATCGCAACCGGCTGAGACACAGCAGACAAGTGAGTTTCAGAAATATTCACAATTCCAGGTGGCAGAGCAAGAAGATGTGGCTCTTTACTGGCGACTCCGGAGGGATTGCAGACTGAGATAGCCAGGGGTCCAGGACGGCGAGCCTCCCCAACACGACAAGCGTGATCCCAAGTCCAGGGCACAGCACGAACCCAAGCTAAGTCCTGGGAGGAACAATGGACAACGAGCGCCCAATCAGAAGCAGTCGCCCCCAAAACGGAGCCAACAAAGGAGAACGGTGTAGCCCAGACAAGATGCCAAAGTCCAAGCCAGCGAAACAGAAGAGTGAATCTGCCGATGAAAGACAGCACGCAACCCACATATCAGCATGACACTGCGAAGAATGACCCCGAGGAAGGCTAAGACACTGCGAAGCCAGTCAAGCAACAAGCTGGGCACCGGCGCAACAAATGGCGCCGGTCCCGGATGACCTAGTCAACTATGATGGTCTGTTTTCTGTTTCTTCTTCAAGAGGGCAGTCAGATGTGACATAGCTTTCTGGAACTCTCCCTTCATTTCATTGCTGACCTCATCCATCTTCAAACCAGTAGCAGTGACGTGTTTGCCCAAGTCAGACTTAAGAGACTCCACTGCATCATGTTGCGAAGCAAGGCTCTGGTGGACCTGTTGCATTTGAGTACCGAATTGCTGGTGCGAAGTGGCAACCTGAGCTACCCATGCTTCCAGTTTCTGTCCCTGGTTCTCACCAATGGAGGATTCGAGTTGAGTCAAACGGGCATCAGTGTTCGCCTGCGCATTGGAATCAACAGACATAGGAGCCGAAGAGGACGGAGCCATCTCAGCACGCAATTTGTCAGCGGTGGCAACTTATCCGCGCCCCCCAGAAAACACGGCGGTCAACGAAGCCTTCCAAGGATCTGTGGCCAACCAAGGATCCAAAACTGGAGAAGTACGAGACGGCTGGCCACGCAAATGAGACTTGGTACCAGCGGAAGCAATGACACTGGATGGCCCAGAAGCTTTCGATGCATCTCGAGCAAAAGTAACCACTATGTCCCGATCCGAAATACGTAGCAAACGAGCGGGCGGGTCAGTTTCGGCACCGACTTCCCAGATGAATCCTGCTTCCGTACTGCCAACCTGTTGTAATACCTTTGCAGGCCAGTTAAGATCGGAAAGGCATTTTTGAAGTCCAACACGTCGTGTACCGAAAGGCAATGGCATAAGGCGCCAGAGCTTGCTGACAGAAATGGCAGTGTAGACCTCACCGGGGCGCAGTGCAGAAAAGGCATCCTCTGCGTGCTCTTTAAGGAACCGAATCCCAAACTTCTTCTGTAACCGAACAAGCGCAAGAGCATGAGGAGTACTCCGAACCTTGCACATGGCATCAGAAAAACTCTCTGCCAACCACACAACCTGATACCGCCCATCCGTTTCTCGCCCATTGGAAGAGCGGGGCTCAAGGTAGACTCCATGCTGACCAGACACCTGTTGCAGTGCTAAGCTGGCAGAAGCCGGAACTCGCATCAAAGCTGACCAAAAGTCCGCCTGTTCGGCTGTCGCAAAGCGCCCATCCAGTGCATGCCAGGCCCTGGCCCAAAGATCCAGCACTAAAAGCTTTTTCGTTTGAATCGGTGGTTGGAAATGAATCGGGTGTTGACAAATCTGCCTACTATGGTCCTTGTATTCCTTCACTCACTGGGCAGCAGATTCAGATTCAACAACCGTTGCTGCAGCAGGTTCAGCAACCGTTAACCGTTGAGTATCGGATCGGCTGTTAGGTTTATGTCGGGTACGGTTATTATACATTAGTTTAAACAAATATTAACAAATATTAACACTAGACTAGTTGGGTAAATTACACAAAATAGTAAGTGAGTCTCGGGAATGCCCGCTGCCACGCGCAACCTAGTCTAGGTTCTCAATAGGCTCATCAACCGGGGCATGGTAGCGGATGCACCCATCCCCACAACCAGATGAGCGACAGAGTTGCAGGCCTGGCACCTGCTGCAAAATGGCTCGAAATGGCTGCCGCATGAACTCACTCCAATCCAGAGGCCAAGAATCCCGAAAAAGGCAAATGCGAAGAGTCTGCGTGGGGACTGCTTCAACAAAGCAAGACTTGCCAGCAATACGGGCAACTTTCGGAATGGGCTTAGTAGTAAGGATGGCCAAAGCTGCGTCACTGATAGTCTCATCCTGTTTCAAAAACGGGGCTATGTCACTCAACGATGCGAAAGCTAAGCCAGCGGCTCCCTTCTTGACTGCTGCGAACGGAATCTGTGCGACAGCGACCGATCCAACTGCAAAGGTATCCGGTAGGAGCTGCAATTGCTGACGCGGAGCCAAGTGTCGCTTTTGCGATGGCTGGACCTTGAACTTCGATTCAGCTCGAGCACGAATTTGGGCTTGAAGTTCATCAGCAAGCACCCATTGAAAAGTGTGTCCTGGACGTGAGCCAAGCTCCTTCAAGGCTGGCCAAGGTTTATTGGATTTGAGTGCAATGGAAATGGCAGAGTTGCCTAGTTTACGAACCCCCTGAGTGGCACGGTCAAGGGCGAGAGCATCAGGCACACCATGTTGCTTAAGAATCACAGCAAGCTCATGAACCGGATCCTCAGTGTTGGCGGGACCAAATCCAATGTCCTCAGTAGCAGAGTCCAATGCAGACAAAATGGCAAGAGCCGGGTGAATACTTTCGACCAACTTGCTGTCAGCCCAAGGGAGCAGTCGAAGACAGAGCGCCAAGTGCCCCAAAGCGATGGTGCCACATGAATCACGGCAGCTTTGAGCAAGAAATTCACGAAATTCCACAGTGAAAGTAAGTCCAAACTTGCTCTCAAAGAAATCCACCAAAAACGCGGCAGCAAGAGGCAACGAATGTCGGGGAAATCCATCATAGAGGAGGGCACGTGGATAACCATAATCATCAGTCAATTCCAACAAAGTCCAATGGCCAGAGGAAAGCACGAAAAAGAAATGGCGACCTGGCAAGAGGCACCATGATTCACGAGGTGGACCAAACAATGCTGTGAAGTCGCCAGTGCCCTCACCAACACCATACAAGTACGCCTGAGGCACCGAACCTCGTGAGCAATGTTCACGCAGCAAGAAGAGCGCAGCACGGTGAAGCAGGGAACGAGAAAGTCCACCGTAGAAACTGCCCTGACCAGAATGAGTCACGCCAAATCCAACACAGGGAGTAGGAGGTGCAGTGCCAAGCACCCCCAAACGGCAGTCAGCCCAAAGACGAGCAGTCAGGGAGACCGGATGTTGTGAGCAGTCGCACAAACGCAAGTCCAAAGAAAGTCCACACTGAAGAACCGCCTCAAAGACAAAAGCACCTGCAACAAGGTAGGCGTAGTGAACCACCTGATCAACCTCAATCAGAATCACCACACATCCCCAACCCAATGTCGCGGGCCTATGTTTGGAACGTTGAGACAGAGTGTAAGGACCATAGCGACCTCTAGTTTGCAAAATGGCATCATGTGGAAGAATGCGAAATCCATCCATGACTTGCATAGTGCGTGCCCATTCCTGGCGGAAGGTTTCTGCTGCCAAAAAACGCTCAACCGTCACACGGCCAGCGCGGACAAAGGAGTAGTCAGATTGGGAGTCCACATCAAACATAGCAACATGGCGCACCCCAACTGAGTCAGACCAAGTCCATCGATCATGTCGCAAATCGAAGAGCTCAGACTTATATGCTTCAAGGCAGTTAACTGCGGAGCGAAAAGGTTGCACATCGAAAGGAGCAAAAAGCGCAGTGAGCAAGGCATGGAATGCCCAGAGCGACTGCAACGGAGCAGCAACCTGACCAAGCAGCACAAGATCGGAGCGGCCTTCCTGAAACACACAGGTAGCAGGAATGGTGAGCAGAAACGCAGCCTCTTGGCAGTGCAGAAACCGATCATAAGGAAAAGCTGCAGAGCGAATCCCAAATCCACGCATGCCCCCATTGCGTAGCCTGGAATCAGAGAAGGGGCCACGACAGCCACAAGGGCAGGGTGAGCAAGTGTGCGCATAGCTGTGCAACAGAGTAGGTGCCACTGAAGTCAACTGAAGTCGGCGCAAGTCTCGACCGAAGTCAGGATCATCAAACTTGGCAGTCTCCTCTGGGGAGAATCTCAAGGCTTCTTCTTCCACCTGAGGCCAGACAGGCCATTCCGGAATCACGTGACCAACGGTGGTATGACGATCATCGCAGGGCCAACTTGTCAAGGAGGGATGGAGTGAGGCTTCACACATAATACCCCACCATCTCAAGCGACGACAAGGCCATTGCAGCGTCAAGTCCAAAAGAGTGGAGGACAGACTCCAAGAAAGCTTTGAAGCAAAGACAGCGAAGATCTGCTAAAGTCCAAAGTGATCACGAACTGCAGGCACACACTCCAGGACAACCCCCCAAAGCAGCATGGAGATAGAGACACCGTAATGAACCCCACAAGGCCTGACATCTGGAATCCTCAAGACCACGCAAGTCTCCCTGGGCACTAAACGGTTGACAAGGAAAGCCCAGTGTGTAAATGCACTGAGAGGCCGAACCAGCATGCTGCAGGTCACAAATGACACGGTCAGAAGTGAGCGAGCCTTCAATGATCGGATGATCAAAGTTCCGGCGCAAAAAGGAGCAAGCCAATTGTGGGTGATCACATGCAGCAACTACTGACCCCCCCGGGTGCTTACAGATGAGTCCCATGCCACCCATGCCTGCACAGAGCTCTTTCACTTGAAACTGTGGAGGCCCCTTCCACAAAGGGATAGGAATTACTTGAGTCTCAGAGCATGGTTGGAACACCCAAGGATCGGTGGCAACAACTTCGACAAAGTACAGCGTGTGGAGCATACCCAACTCCAAATCACCCATGAAAATAGCCTCAGAATCATATGCCACCACCTTGACACGCGTGTGAGCATTGCACTCCACAGCACGAACCAGCCCTGAGAAACGACTCCCAACCATCAAAGGAGGGAAAATTGATTCCATGGCGGGAGAACCCACCCCAACCGTTCGGCGGACGCAGCTAAACCTCTGGCAGGGAGTTGGGCCAAAGCTCTTTGTCAGTGACAAAAGTGGACCTTTCGGACTGTTGAAAACGAAAAAGAATAGCCATGCCATGAATTGAGCTCTACATACCACGGCCACATCATGCCTGCCATTCCAGTGGCCCTTTTGCATAGACTCACAGACCACTAAGGATCACCAAACAAAATGTAACTGTTCACTCTTTCCCACTCAGGCGGTGGTATGCGGGTCCCTTATTTCAGGTGTTTAGAAAGCCTAAAACCACATCACATGAGCAGAAATAGGACACACGTTGGTCTTCTTTCAGAAACCGCTTCAATTTCGAGTCCTGAAAGTGATGCAAACATTCTTGCCGCTGCAGTGAGTTGAATCTGAAGCGTCCCAGGTTGTAGCTGTAGGCGTACGCTGCCGCACCCACCAAGGACGCTATGCCAGCAGCGAACATGGAGGTCTAAAGCTGGCTAGGAAAGTAGATAGATTCTTTCTGAAGTGTTCCCTATTGTTGAAAGGTAGTAACTCAACTTCTCGTCAAGTACACTGTTCAACAACTGTGCTTCAGCAAGGCTATTGCTCACTGGCTATGTGTGAGCAAGTCATTCGGGCAATCCAAATCCAAAACTAATGGGCTCATTTCTATGTTCCGTGATGTTCCGTGTATTTTGAGGATTACATGGGTTCCCCAATTTGCACTCGAGCAGGGCAAGCAGCTGGCGTGGACAACTGCTTGTCAAGTGTGGCCAATAAATAAAGAGCCATACTGGGACATAGGCACCATAAGTGATTTGCCTACCCGGAAACTTCAACAATCTCAGCTGCGATGCCTTGATACCTCTTCAACGTGACGAGTGTGCAGCAACGCCCGCACAGCAGGGTCTTTGGCCAAATCCTCAGGCAGGAAGCAGCTCAGGAAGCGCTCATCTGGTTGAAGGACAGGGGTTGACCCAGAAGGGGGGGGAACCGAAAGGGTCATTGCAAAGGCACCGAGGATGGCACAAATACTCCACCTTCACGTGACAAAATGAAAGAAGAAAAAGAACAATATCGATGTCTGATCTTGCTGATGCAGTTCGCGCAAGGTTGAAGATTATTGAACAGAAGTAAAAGACGCGTGTGCTTGCACACCAAATCATGCTGCAGTTCCCCGGTCGTTCTTGAGCAGGGAAATCGCGAGCATCAGACGCGTCAAGATTGATCAAGTTCTCGTCCGACTTTCGATGTGAATACCCGTGGAGTGGAGCGTCCACAACACCAAACCAAGACTAGGCGCAAGGGCGCTACTAGGGGCTCCTGGCCGTATACTAGGAACAAGAAGCTACTAGGAACAAGGGCATCGCTACTAGGAGCTCCTGGCATCGCCAATAGGACCAAGGACGCTACTAGGGGCTCCTGGCCTTACAAGGCACACAATGTGCCCCATATGGCCCACCCAATCTGCCCACCATGGCCATCACCAAAGGCTCCGAAGGCAACTGGCCGTGGGAGGTTTTGGCGTTGATGTCTGCTCGCTGTTCCAGGAGGAAGCCTCAGACTGCGTTTTCGGATCCTGTTCTTTGCAAAAAAGCTTTGGTGCTATGAATGTATGGATGAACAAACGCGGACGGATGGATGCATGGATGGACGGAGATCAAATGCCCTACTTGGCTCGACAAATCCAAACAAAAGGGGGTCATTATCTGACCTCAGTGTCTGGAGGGCTCTATTGCAATATCACCCCCAACAGAAGAGGCCATGAACGGACCGTGCAACCTCCAAACGACCAACAGCGAGATACGCCTAGCCACTCACAGAGTTCAGGTGCCCAGCTTGCGCAGCCTGGTGAAGGACCTCATCACCAAAAGAATAAACAAATCTGTCGAGGAAGAAGCGGTAGTCACCGGACGGACACGATGGATCGTGGGCGGGGAGAACCAATCGCAGTGTTGGCTACTATGTCGCAGCCGGGTTGTTTTCTTTTGCATCCACCAATACTCAATGTTATAGTGAAGAAGAATAAGTAGAGAACAGAATATGTGTTTTTTTTGTGTTCAAGATTTTAAAGACAATCCAGAAGAAAGATCCACTGCAAACAAACACAAAAACGACAACATGGGCTATGGTCTGAGCAGTGTCTGTGAAAAGCAACAAGTTCTCCCTTAACGAAACGGAGCAGGTGGCTCTAAGATTGTTTGTTTCATCAGTTGATTCAAATGCGTTCGAGATGCAGAGAAGCGTCCACACGGTTGCGCCTAAACATACAGTTCACGCTTGAATGAACCAGCTCCGGACAAAGTAATCTGGGGAGATTGCGGACAATGCACAAACATGTCCGCATCTAATACCAGGGCCTATACTACAAGGATTTTGTCTGAAGTTGAAAGATTTGGCGCATCGAAATCAAAGTACAACCAATTCTTTATTGAACCAACTTAGAATGAAAAGTTGACTTTGGGGTGTGGTGGTTTGCCAAGCAGAAAGCTGTGTTCAAATGAGGCAACCTTCAAGGTTTGTGGTAGCGTAGAAATAGCAAACGTCGGGCTCTTCGGAGCAATGCCAAGATTTTCGAAAAATCAAAAAAATTGCCAAAACCACTAAGGCCGCTAAGGTTCATTCACCAACTGGGGATTGCTGGTCACGAAGTCTTTTACCTCAGCCAGCGAATGCGCGGTGGATTCGTTCCAAATCTTCAGTTCCTATCTGTTCCAATCAAGCATTTGGAGGAACCAAAAATGAAACATGTGGTGGTTGCAACAGATTGGCATGCCAGCCTCGTTCCACTTGCGAGCCTTTGCAAGGTCCAATAGAAAATGCGCATGGGCGGCATCACGACCCATGCCGAAGAAAAGACCTCGTAGTCTTGGCAAGATCACTGAAGATACATCATCAATTGGAACCACATGAACTTGGCTAAGGTTTGCCTCTTGCCTTGGATGTTTGTGAATCAAGTGGAGGTGATGTCTCATTCCTTGTCTACATTGCCGGCCTGAATAAGCCAAACCCAATCACAAAAATGTGCATCTACCACGTCCTTTGTTGGACAGTCGACATTCAACAAGGTGTGGTAATACAGCCGTTGTTTGATGGAGTGGTATGTCGAACATTAGAAATGCCCAACAAGTGCAGCTGGACTAAGGGAGATGTAGGTGCTAAGTGTTTTGCAAATGTAAGATGGAGAACAAAGCGTCCAGATCGACAATCGTCCATAACAAAAAAACATATCAAAAAATCCATTAAATGTATCAATATGACAAGGCCGATGAAAATGATTATGGCCAAGCCATATCGATACTGTGAGGAGTACGGTGTTCAAGACATAGTGGCTGTAGGGAATGGGATGAGCAAAACCTTTCCTCCAAATTTTCAATGTTGCACCATAAACATGCAAATTGGTAAACACAAGGTAGCAAATGAACTGCCGCTTTGTTTTCAGTTTTCACCTTGATGCGACAAGGCTTCAAGTCATGCAGAATGATTATTTTTTTTGCACGCGTGGGGCTGCCGTTATCGCAAGAATGCGAAGGTCAGCTATTGTAGAGATTAAGATTTCCTGAGAATCAAAGCAACACCACAAAACCAACAAAACAACCAGAACCAAACAAACAAGAAACCCACTAAAAGAAAGACCAGCAAATTTCGTAGAAGCTCAGGCTGGGATTTTATCACCAGTGTGAAACCGAAAAAACCTGGGCATGGATGAATTGCCACGAAAGTCAGCTTGCAACAGGGATGTCGCCAGCGCACTGATGAGGCAAAGCAACACTTTCAAGGAACTTGGCCAAAGTACCAATGGTTTGAGACATTCAGATGTTGTCGCGCGAGGTTTTCCCGGTGAGGGGTCGTTCTCGAGGTGTGTTGCCACCTTTGCGGAGCTGGAGGTTTCTTTGTCCTAAAAAGGTCAATGAACATGCCCCATCAATTTCCTAAGAGTGGTCAGAATATGGATCTCAGATTCTTTTGGGATTCATCTAGGGGAGTGAAACGCGTTGCTGAAACGACACTTCCAGAAACTGTCAAATGAAAGGTGTTGAGGGTTGTCGGGGATCTAGCAAACGGCAGTTAGAAACGGAAGACATGGACGTGGTTTCGGTCAGGTCAGTCTGTGTGTGCATCCATATCTGTGTGACGCTAAAGAGGTCCGTCAGTGTGTTTCGCTCGACAGCAACACGCCGCGTTCACGGCACTGCAACATCACGAACATGATTTCGTTTCGATCCACCACACACTGGAAGCAAACCCCAGTGGCGAAGTTGCATTCGTAATGGCGCAGTGCGATTGGACATGCTGGCGCAAACGTGTGGCTGGCAAGCGGGGTCATTGGCGGTGTCATGTGAAATGGTTGCTTCTGGTGTGTGGGAGACCGTGTGGCCAAAGCATGTCGCAGTGCCATTGGGATTTGCGCGGCCTTGGGGGAAGTGCGTGTGTGGCGCTGCCACTGGTGAGCGGATCGAGAAACATGGCACACATTTTTTTTTGCACGAGTCGAGCCGCCATTCATGCAGGAAGTGCACAGGTCAGCTTGCGCAATTTTTTGTAGAGTCTCCATCATGAAAGGGGGCCAAGCCCTAAAAAACCCACGACCTTAAGTAAGCAGATTACAGCGTCGTTAAAGCAAAAGCACGTACAACTCACAAGCAACGCGAAAGCACTCGCACACCTTTTACGCGCACTCTGGGCCTTGAGCCAAAGTAAAGTTCAAAAGAAGCTGTGAGGCTACAAAAGCTACGAAAACTTCTGTTCACAAAGCTTCCAAACTTTGTACACTCCATGAGCTATGCTCTCCAACGCTCTCAAAACACTTCGAAACTCAAAGTTGCGGTGCGGAAGGCTTGCTCAAACACTCGAAGTGCAAAACTACGCACTCCAAACGAAAACCTTACAGCTGCTGCATTAGCCTGCACCTCGCTCCACCCCCTTTCGAGTTTTTTTGCACGAGTGGAGGGGCGCCAATCAGCTGCCTTCCTACCGTCGCGTGCGGACACCAGACAAAAGCTGAGGCTCTCAACCGGACCGCTCACTAGCAGTGCACAGGTGGGCATGTTGGCTGGAATCATTCCCGACCTCATATCCACTGAGGCTGGAGAGGGCAGTCGAATTGCTTCACTGTCAGCATTGTCCACAGCGGCGCGTATGGACTTATGCTGGACACAGTTCCGAATCGCTGGGCATCAGCCTGGATCGAGTCCTGCGAGACGATGCCGGCTTCCAAGAAACAACATTCAGGCAAGCATCTTTTTCGGGTTGGTGGGGTCATTCTCCGTTGTTTGAGGTGGCGCAGAGCCGTACATTTTTCAAAGACTCGAGGCCGGAATTGTTTTGCTCCGCCCTTGAGCTGCCCTTGGCGTTCCGCGTCCAACGCAAAACACTGACGGACAATCACGAAGCAGTTGTCACGCAGAGTGTTCCAAATGGGGTCAACCAACACTTGCGGGTGTCCTTATGAGCGAATTGCAGCTCGCACCCAAAGTTGCT